CACACTGTTACACAATCTTTCCAGAACCTCTAAATACAAAGCTTGAGTAAGTCTGACCTGGTGGAGCGAACTCCAAATGCACTACGAGTCCACGTCCAGATAGATGTTTTTCATCAACCAACATTTCACCTTTTTTGAAAGAAAACCACTCATACACTTGAGTTTTTCACAGAGTGCTGTCCTTGTAAGGTGTGCTCAACATCAGAACAGTTTCTGCAGCATTTTTCCTGAGTGGGAAACAAAATTTCATAGTCCCAAGCAGTTCCCTTAAATCCGCCATCACAAAAAATGAGGTTCAAGCAAAATTGCTTTTATGAAAAAATTCACTGTGCCCAGAGATGCTTGCCTAGCAGGAAAAATTCGTACTACGAAAGCCTCTGCCTGCACAATTCCATTTGGGTTGGGTTTTTTGGATACCCCCTCGTTTATTCCTAAGTGTCTGGTTTTGCTTTTCTGGAGAACCCTGTCTAACTCAGAAGCCTTACACCATCTTCCCTACAGCCCTGATCTTGACCTTTCAAAGTTCTTCTCACGCTACCAACACAAAGAACACTGAAAAGGAATACAATTTGAATTCCTCAAAGGTGCTACAACTGCCATTCTGATGCAGACTGAATTCTTCCAGCAGAGTTAGAGACGAAAGCTCTGCCTTCAGAAGGCACAGACCTGCATCTTACTTTATGAACAGAACTCGGGTTCAAACATGGGAATTATCTTGTCAAATGCTACAGGAATATTAAAAGAAAAAATACTCAAACTAATACCCAATTAAACAGATGCTCAGAATGTTGACTTGCTCCAAAAGAAATGCTAAAGAAAGGACACTAGGCAGTAACTCAAAGCTGTACACAGAAATAAAAGCTACATTAAAGGTAACTGCAGGGTTGAGTAAAAAATGAATGAAAGCGGGGGGTGGGGGTGAGGGTGGGAGAAGGAAGGGTGGTTATTAGACCTAAATGATGGACATGTTGAGAAATAATTGCTTCCTTAATAAAGGTTTCTACTTTTTGATCCACCGTCATATTTGGATATCCCATAATAGTCAACCTCAACCTAAACAAGTTCAAAACTTAACATCAATATCAAATTATTCTTGTGGTTTTAGTGACCAAACCAGCAACCTTGACATTAGTTTTGCATCACCTTTGATCTCCTTCACCTCTAGCCACCCTCTGACCCCACTGTAGAATCAATCCCATCGCAAAGTCATGTTGGTGATCCCGATTAGTGCTTGAATTCATCCATCTCTCTGTCCTTACTGCCATACCTTGCTCCCAATCATCCCTTACATGAATCTTTGCAAAAGACCCCAGTCCTCCCTAGAGCCTCCCTCCCTCTTCTATGTCCTTCACAATTCTCCACCAAACCCACCGCCAGGGAGCCAACCCCAACTCTTATCACCCTAAAGGGCAGGACAGACTGCTCCTATGAGCTTCCAAAACTGTAACTCTCTATAGGAGTAGAAAGCCTTATCTTTCTCTCTCAGAGCAATGGGTGGTTCTGAACTGCTGCCCTTGAA